TGCATGACTGCGTGGCTCTCTCGAAGGCAATTTATCCTCATCAGGCGTGAAAATGAATCTTTCTAAACGCCATCTTGGCGGCTTCACTCTGCTCGGAAGTCACAGTCAGCCTCGTTTTGCTTGGTTTGGATTCGTCTTCCCGGTTGGCTCAGGCGTGGATTTCTCATGTGTGCTTTGCATCTTTTGGCATTGTGACTGTCATGTTAAATAACGTGAAGGGCTGATCGCCGCCGTCACTAGCGTGGACCTGCAGGAATTTTCCGCACTCAGAACTTCAGTGTTTCCACAATAAGTCCCCATACAGTGGACAGGTGGGCGTTTATTTACTCAACTGAATATCCGACATACAGAATCAATTTTTGTCTTTATGATACGACAGAAGATTTTGTGTTCCACAATGTAAATATTTAAATATAAAATCATCATCATCATCATCATCGCCATTGCATCCAGTCAAATAAGCACACGTCGAATGCCAGCTGGTTGCCTCCCCCGCCGACGTAGCGCCACGGGGACGCCGTTGGAGCGCGTGCTCGGCTCCGAGGCGGCGTTCTCACGACTGTTGTTACATAAGAGAAGGCTTTGGCGTCACGCGACAAACGCGCTGAAAAAGCACAGAGCTCAGGCACTGCGGACGCCGGGACGAGGCGTTGATGTCACGGTGGAAATATCAAATCGTGGTGTTGATTTGAGATGAAAAGTGACCTTCTGTCTTCATCTTAGTTATCTTATAACTTTCCATTGTTTTGTTTTTGCCTAAAATATGTCACAATGAGTCTGTGATTTGGTTTAACCCTTTCATGCACCATGTAATCTGATAACATGATAAGCTGTCCACGGTAGTGACCGCCGAGTTGAATTTGTGAATATGAGTTGCAGGAGTAACTCTGAGCTGCTTGGCCTCGACTGTCCATCCTTTTGCTGAAATCAGTGGGGCAACCAAAACCTCACCGACTAGCAGTTGACATTGGAAAGAGCGCGGCTTTTTTGACTCGTCCGAAAATGGCCCATGCATACAGTTGAATCTCCCCTCCGGTTGCCGATTGGACGTCGGGATGGATTAGCGTCATCCGAAAAACTGACTGCCCGCCCGCCCGCGTGTTGTCGCCGGGCTTGGGGATTTTACAAAGGACAAATGGATTTCCCTTGATTCTATCAAGCCGGAAGAAGCGAACAAATAGTGTTTGCTCCCTTCTGTCGTCAGTGTCTTCATTTTCGGAGTAAGAGTTAGGTTAGCCGCTAGGTTCCAGTGGACGCTGATACGATCTGGTGTTTGGCAAATGAGAGAGATTGAGCAGGTTGCGACACGTACGTCTGCTGTCTTGCCTGGCCAAAGACGCTTGGGTGCTCATTGAAATTTCTGGAGCTATGCATGATTTCAATTTTTTTTTTTTTTTTTTTTGCGAATGTCTTATTTCATTTGAAAATTGTTGAACACTCTAAACAACCGGTTATCATATCACGTCAGTGTCATTGAAAACATCAAAAGTTCTTTTAAGATGGTTCGGAAGGACTCCCTGTTTTCTTCCGGCAGCCACCTGTCCCTCAGAATAGCCTCGCTAATCACTCTTGTCGTTTTTAATCGGGCTCTTCCACACCGTGCGTGTATTTAAAGGTAGGAAGCCTCCGATTAGAGCTCTGAGCAGGAAGGGGAGGGCGGGAGTGAATGGGGGCGGGGCAAGTTGAGCGGCGTGCAGACTCACATTGGGAGCCATGTGAGCCACCCCAAAGCTAAGAAAATGGTCTCCGTATGGTCAAAAAAAAAGAGGACAGGAGGAGGCATTAGGTGCTTAAACAAAACCTGAAGTCGGTCCTGAAGTCTCTTAAAACTGTTGGGTCCAACCAAAAATGGACTGACCACTGAAGTTTTGTACAAAATAGGTTGTTTTGGAGGTAAAAAAGCAGGATAAAAGAGGATTTGACGTTTGATAATATTCAGCACTAAACGAGAAGGATTTTGAAATACTTTGTTTTTATTCTTCTTTCAAATGTGCATTGTCAAACAAGACAGTGTGCCTCCGGCTAGTGGCCGACAGTGGAATTACACTCAAACGAAATGGGAGGCGGAGTGTAAGAGTATTCTTAATGGTACCCTTCAAAAATCCATGAAATAGAACCGCAGAAGCGCAACCCCGAACCTGCGATGGAGGGCGGTTCACCTATTAAAAAAAAACTGTCGTTCAAAAAAATCTGAAAAAGTGCCTAACATTGTTGGACTATTGGGAAAAGTGGGATTAGTGATGTAAGCACAGTAAGAACACACAAAATTTGAATCATCGGCAAAATAGCTGGTTGCCGTTGTTCTCTCCGCATACACGGATCATTGCGTCACGTGTCCTCTGGGCTTTGTCTTTTGAGAGCGAGCGGCAAATAACGTTGGCTAACGATGCGAATGATTCTGTGTGATGAAAGGCGGCAAGGTCGCCCGCTTGCTCGCCCGCCCGCCCGCAGCGCTTCCTCTCCACATTTAGACCACATTTAATCCCGTCTGATTGGGTCGCGTGGGTGCCAGGTGCAGAGATGTGGCGCCTGGAGCTTTTCCCTTGCCGCAAAAAACTTAGCCTAGCAAAACTTTGGCAGGATGAATTTGATGATGCCAACTTCAGCTGGGGGTAAAAAAATCCAAATGAGTTACATCAGTGACTTTTAAAGTGTGGTTGGGGGGGTTCGAGGGGGCAGTTTATTCAGAATTACATTCCATGTTTAATACTTTTTTTTGTTTGGTTTTGTTTTTGTTGAGCGCCCTTTCTAAAGCCTGCATTGAGTACCGATCACGATGTCTTACTGATTACAAACACCGAGACGGGATAATGAGTCTTCAGCCGCTCTTACTCGCCGCAATTGCGCTCCGTCGTACGTCTCAATCGAGCCGCTTTTTGCGCTTGATGTCACACTCCTTTTCTCCCTTCTCATTAAATCCGTCCAAAGGTGCACCATTTATGCAAATCTGATATTCGGCAGCTTGAGTGGTGATTTACAGAGCGGGTATGTCCCTCGAGTCTTGCGTTCGCACGAAGCGACGTTGTCGCAATTATCGTGTGCACCTGACAAGCCAGCCCGGCGCGGGGCAGATAACGGTCTCCACGGCAACCAGCGTGGATGGAAGAAGTCGTCGTGATGCGCGAATGGCTGGAGACTTGAGCGTGTGTGCGTGTGTGCGTGTGTGTGTGTGTGTGTGTGTGTGTGTGCGTGCGTGTGTGCGTGCGTGCGTGTGGCTTTTGCTGAAATGACTCATAGAGCAGACAAATCCTCAGGAAGTCTTACGCTGCGTAAACTGCCATCACAGGCTTGACATGATAACCTCGCCATCTATTCTCCACTCTGTCACGAATCACCTTCTTTCCTCATGCACACCCCGGGGCCACTTTATTAGGTACACTTTGTGACATTCATGTCAAGAGATGCGGTCGAAAAATAGTGCTTTTGACCAATTAAGAATGCTTCGTTTTTTTTTGGGGGGGGGGTTGTTTTTTAGCAATGTGTTTCTTGTTGTGGTTTGCTGTGTCAAAGTGCAATACATCATACATATTTTGACTCGCTTGTCGACATTCATAGAATCATTCAAAATAATGTAATATGCATTTTTTTTTTTTTTTTCTGGATAGTAAGTGATCCTTCAGTCACTCATAGCAATGTTACCGGAAGCCTTTTTGTCGCCAGCCGTCTCATCGAATCCTCTGAACGCAGTGTGTGTGTGTGTGTGTGTGTGTGTGTGTGTGTGTGTGTGTGTGTGTGTGTGTGTGTGTGTGTGTGTCCTCATTGTGTCAGATCACTGCCCCCTCCAGGTGACTGCCAGCATCGAGCCCCGGTTTCGGAGGCAGGAACAAGAATGATTGACAGTGAGACCTTCGTGTGTGTGTGTGTGTGTGTGTGTGTGTGTGTGTGTGTGTGTGTGTGTGTGTGTGTGTGTGTGTGTGTGTGTGTGTGTGTGTGTGTGCGCGTGCGTGCGTGCGTGCGTGTCTGAGATCACATCAGAGAGGAAATTCACATTTCATAACTCATTTGTCCTAGCCTTAAATCATATTTTTAGACAGGCTTGATTTTCTCCCCCATCTTTTGGCACGAACTGGCGAAAAAAAATAATAATAATGTTGATTCATAGTTATCATTCATTCATTCATCTTCCGAACCGCTTGATCCTCACTAGGGTCGCGGGGGGTGCCGGAGCCTATCCCAGCTGTCTTCGGGCAGTAGGCGGGGGACACCCTGAATTGGTTGCCAGCCAATCGCAGGGCACACAGAGACGAACAACCATCCATGCTCACATTCACACCTAGGGACAACTTAGAGTGTTCAATCAGCCTACCATGCATGTTTTTGGAATGTGGGAGGAAACCGGAGTACCCGGAGAAAACCCACGCAGGCCCGAGGAGAACATGCAAGCTCCACACAGGGAGTCCAGAGCTGGAATTGAACCCGGTACCTCTGCATTGTGAAGTCGACGTGCTAACCACTGGACTACCGGGCCGCCCCATAGTTATCATACAAATGCAAAAAAAAACCACACACAAAAGGTGGTGGTGAACACAAAAAATCAGTTCAAGAACATTACATTGGTACCACAACTTCGGAGTGATCCAACTTGTGAATCTTTCCCGATATGGGCCATGACTCGGTGAGTACGAAATGCCGGTCGTCAAACAGCCAAAAGTGAACTTTTATTTTTTTTTAAAGAGTCTGCGTGCTTCCTTCAAGCTTTTTCTTTCCAAGTTCAAGTTCAAGCAGACAACAAAAGAGAAATACACTTTGTACCGAACCAAACCACATCGCTCAGTCACGTGCACTAGCTTCATGCTAACAGCAAAGTGCAATGGGCCGGCGCCGGAAAAATAGCATTGGTGCTTCAACACATTGAGACAGACAATATACATACGTGGACAAAAACGATGGGACCCCCAAATAAGATATAACTTGACGTTTCCATTACTGCAGTTGCACATCTCGTTCAGAACATGTAAGCATGTAACCTCAATGCATATGTTGCGTGTTTCTTTATCCAGAAAGTGAGTGAGAAAGTGGGCGGAGCCGAGGGAACCAAGCTCGATGAGGACTTCACCGAAATGGAAAAGGCGAGACGGAACGCCGTCAGTCAGTGCATCAACATGACGTGTATCAAAAATGTTTATGACAATTTTGTCGTGCTTTCTCACTTGTGCAGAAGGTGGACACGACCACCCGGGCCGTCATCGATATCATGACCAAGACGACCGAGTATCTGCAGCCCAATCCAGGTGACATGGCCCAGAGGCTCTCATCATTTCTTTTTTGTAGCGTTAAGAGTTTTGTGTTTTATGGCATTTCTTTAAAAAAAAGAAGAAAATGAGAACAACTTATATCCTCCGCTGTTTTGTCATCCTGGTTAAAATCACCCCAAATATCCACTTAAAACCATCATGGCAGATTCCCTTTTCATGTCAAGCATGTGTTCTTGAGACTTTTTTGTGGGTCTACTCATGATAGACACGTCTACTAAATTTCATGTTAAAAAGTGAAAGTGGCTTCAGGGGCTGCTGAATTTTCAGATGAATCATCTTGTCAAACAAATTGTTCACAGGAACGCGTTTGCAACCATTGATGAGTTTTAGATGACTTTTTTGAAACGGGAGGAAGCTAAAAATGTTGCCATTTTACCTTGTCCATCTTTCGAGCATATGTGGTTTAAGATCCAGTTAAAATCCAACAAAATTGCGAGGACAAGTTAATTTTGGAAGGACCGCTGCAAATGGCCTACTTCCTGTGTCTTTTCAGGTTTGAGTTTCCAATACTTTTTTTGTGGGTCTTCTCACGATAAACCTGCCGACCAAATTTCATGCGACTGCAAAAATTTCATGTGACCGCAAAATCTTGTCACCCGAGGATAAATATGCTTTCGAAATTGTATGGACTATTGATTCATGTGTGCTCAAGCCTTGACGATCTTGATCATTAAAACTTCAGAGCAATAAAATGGATGGTTTTTTTTTTTTTGTTGTTGTTATGTTTTTTATTTTGCAGCCACCAGAGCCAAGATGAGCATGATGAACTCCATGTCTCGCATGCGTGGTCAGGAGAAGGGACCCGGATACACCCAGACAGAAGCCATCCTGGGAGAGTCCATGCAGCGCTTCGGTCGCGAGCTCGGCGAGGAATCCAATTTCGGTGAGTGGCCGAGAGCTTTTTTTTTTTTTTTTCACGATTTCCTACAAAGTGGGACGTGCGATAAATAATCTTGTCAGTCATTAATGATGATACAAAGATGTATGATAATACAATGGGCCCAAGCTACTTGCAGGGGAGCAGGACCACAGATTTATTTTTAAACTCTCCGAGGAGCTTTATTTTGACAAAGGTAGGATTTGTCGCCATCTTGTGACATTTTAGATGTCGATTAATGCTGCCATCTTTCATTTTTTTGCGGGGAGGAGGGTGGGGGGGGGGGGTCAGTTACAGTTTACCTCGCTAACAATTGTCACCCTTCAACGTTTGTAATAGCCTACAGTTTTTCTACAAACGATAAGGCAAGGCTATGGCCTGACTAAATGAAGCTCCTCATTCACTTCAACATAGTTGCTTGATGTGCAAGTTTTCATATTATGGCATAATCGCAGTTTTGTACCGGCAGATTCACATTTTGACAGTTTTGGTTGGTTTTTCTTAGGGGGGGTCAATTTTATTTTTCATTAAAAATTTTGGGAGGAAGTTTTCATTTTTTTGTTTGTTTTAAGCCCTAATCCCATCCGTTGTTTTCAATCAATTTTTCTTGAAAAGTGTATGTCATTTTTTGAAGATTTTTTTTGGGGGGGTGGGAGTTGGTTTAAAAAAAAAATAAAAAAAAAGATAAAATACAATATTTGAAAGTTACCCTGACAGTGCTGTTGTCGGTCCCACTGAGGTTCGCGCCGCTTTGTGTTCCTCAGGCCTGGCTCTGATCGACGCCGGGGAGTGCATGCGTGAGCTGGCAGAGGTTAAGGACGCCCTGGACATGGAAGTCAAGCAGAACTTCATCGACCCGCTGCAGAACCTTCACGAGAAAGACCTCAAGGAGATCCAGGTTGATTGTTTTTTTTTGGAACTAGGCCAAGAGATGACGTCGAGGACTTACGGCTTCTGTGATGTCTCACAGCATCACCTGAAGAAGATGGAGGGCCGGCGTTTGGACTTTGACTACAAGAAGAAGCGGCAGGGCAAAGTGACAGATGAAGAGCTCAAGCAAGCGCTGGAGAAGTTCGACGAGTCCAAGGACATCGCCGAGCTCAGCATGTTCAACCTGCTGGAGAGCGACGTAAGCGTGAGCCCGCAAAATTGAAACGTAGCCGTTTGGTCTGGCATCCTCATCAGGATCACTTAAGCAGCGTGAAAATGTTGCAGAACTTGAAGTGGCTAAACATTTTCTGTAGACGTAAAAAACAGGATGACAGAGGACTTCATTTTCTTTCCCCATTTCCTGTGCCGTTAGTTTACGCCTGAGAACACACGTCAGTCGGTTGCCTTCAACACATCTCAGGGCATTAGAAGTGTGAAACAAGTGCAACCCACAAAACCGTCAACGAGTTTTGGGTGTCATAAATCAACCCAAAACTTTTTGCGTCCGCAGATCGAGCAGGTGAGCCAGCTGGCGGCATTGGTCCACGCTCAGGTGGAATATCACAGCCGGGCGGCCGAGATCCTCACGCAGCTGTGCAGCAAGATTGACGAACGGTCGGTGCTTCCCTTAGCGTCCCCTCCATGCTCTACAAAACCGAGATTAAATAGCGTTATCCTCATAGCGACATTGTCTCAGTCATTTTTTAGCTTCAATGTCACAAGAGCTTTGTTTTGGACCTTGCGACCAGCTGTCCTTGTGTCATTGCGTGTCCAGGATAAAGGATTGTTCCCACAAGCCCCGGAAAGAATACACCCCCAAGCCTCGCACCACTCTGGACTTCTCCTCCATCAGTGAGAACCACAACGGAGGCATACACAGTGCTCGTTCTCCGGGTAAGTGCGGACCCAAGAACCTTGTAAAAACGTGTCCAAAAACATGTCCAAGAATAGACACGAATGTTCCATTGGAAAAAGGATTTCTGGGCATGTTTTGGTATCGCGTCAGAGGTACTCCACTTTATAAATTGGTTATTGACTGCGTTATTAGTGCTTAATAAAGCCTTAATAAACTAATGTGAGGCAACTCACCAACCAAACAGTGAGCCCATTTATAATTGCAAACTGAAAAGCTCTCTGGATAAATGTGCATTGAGGCTTTTAGAAAGGGTTCATTACACTATTATTACCCTATTTATACTTTCAACAAGGCGCCCCTTATTTGGATTATCAGATGGTTATTAATGCCTACCACTTGCCAAACAGTGAGCTCACATTTAGTGTTATATTACTTGTGTATATTATTCAATTGTTTATTAAGGCATTATTACATTGTTATTAACCTATTTATAAGCCCTCCCTTATTTTAAAGTGGTATCCACATTCGACTTGTGTGTTAATTTATTTTGCTGTCCATTCTCAAAAATGAGCTACTTCATAAAATAAAAATTAAAAATCAGATGGCTTATTAGCTTGCAGCTACAGTTTGGGAGTTCACAGCAAAACGTTCAGGTCATCTCCACACAAATACAGGTAGGGCCATTTTTATTTGTGGAATTTTTTAAATCAAAATAACAATAACAATTCTGCACATATGTAGTTTGTTTCCTGATTTCATGCCAACTGCAACCAACGGCATTTGTATTTTATAATAATAACATTGCGACCCAATGCAACTCGTTTTTAATTGCTAATGTCATGCTAAAATAATAGACAAAATAATAAACTTGTCCAAACATCCAAATTCAAGTTAAAGTTGGACCAATGTAATTTTTTTTTTTGTCTAAAACAAAACACGATTTGTGTGGACATAGCCTCATGATGCACTTTTCAAATTTTCAAATGTTTTTTTTTCACTTCCCCAACCCACAAATAAACGCAACTGTGTTGCTCTTCTCTCTTTTTTTCAATTTTTTTTTTTGGGGGGGGCGGGGGGACTCGTGCAGGGGCGAGGTCGCCAGGTGAGCCTTCCTCGGCCGTCCACTTGCGTCATTTGAGCCCCGCCCTCATCCGCTCCAACTGACTTGCTGTCTTTTCCCCCCCTCCCTCTTTCCCCTCTTTCCCGGCCGCCACTTGCTGTTGGCAGCCCGGTCTCCAGGTGAGGCAAAGCAGAAGGTTGCGTACCCCTCATCATCTCCTCCATCGTTGCCTCACCTTTTGTGTTCCGAGAGCCGGCGCCCCGGCCCGCCCCCAACGTTTCCTCTTTCGGCTCACTGACGTTCATTCTTTCCACCCATCTCTCCATCCCTCTGCAATTGCTTCTGCTGTAATAATTTTTTGTTGTCTTTTCCTTTCCCCCTCCACAGCAAGATCTCCAGGTGAGCACCAGTGACTCGTCCGTTAATGTTTCCCCTTTGAACGCAGTGGAGGCTCCTCCCCGTCCGCGGTCCAGCCTCGTCCACGCCAATTTGATTTTTCTTTGCTTGTCCGTCTAACCCTTTTGTTTCTCCCTCGTTTCTTATTTTGTGTGGTTGGTCGAGTTTGACATTCAAGGAAACACACAAGGAGCCTCTTTTGTTAAAAAAAAATAAAAATTAATAATAATAATAATAATAATAATAATAATTGTAAAGAGATTTGAAAAGGTTGAAATCATTTATTATTGTTATTCATTTTTTTGTGTTGGTCATTCTCATTTTTATCAAATATTTTCAATATTTTTATTTGAATTTTATTTTCAGGAATATACTAATCGTAGTTGAAATGTTAATTTTTTATTAAATCGTGTCATTACAAAATATTGGATGTAACTTTCAAAATAATGATGCGCAGTGCAAAATGATTTTCTTATTCATTTTCTTCTCATTTTCAAAAGCATTCTTTTTTTTTTTGTTTGTTTTTCAATTTTTATAGGACCCTAAATGCATAGCTATAGTCAGTAAATTACAAAAACGAGTCACGTTGTTTGTCTGCGGCACTCTGAAGTTGGCCCAAATTCCACAGCGAGAACTCATTTGCGATTTCTCAAAAGGATGATCGAGGTCCAAGGTCAAATCAATCCAGTTGCTGCCCCCTGCATTTAAAATCATTTTTCTAAGTCATAAAATGTGAGATCATGTAAATGTGGTGAGTTTTGTTTTTATTTTATAAATTTAATGGGCTGGTATTCGTTTTTCTAGTTCGATTTACATTTGTAATTTCATTTCAAGCCTTCAATGAATAATAATTGTTCGATTTTGTTTTTTTGGATTGATTTATTGATTGTGTCATGTTTTGCTTTATTTCAATTTTCTCTTTTGATTTATTTCTATTTTATTTTACTTTGGTTATTACTTCTGTTTTCTTTTCCCCCCCTGCTCCCTCTTCATTCCTTCTTGGTCACTCTGTTATATTTCACTTTTCTCAATTTTGATTTTCCTTCACTGTTGTTAACCATGCTATCGGTTAGCAGCTCCGCTTGTGATGATCCAAAATGTCAAACTGCACCTTTCCTGAACCGCCACGTGTCTCCTCCTAACAGTGAAAACCTTGTTCGGCATCTTTTCTTTCTTTGTCTTTTTCTTGGGCTCTGCGGCGCATCCTGTTACCTCTCTTCCTGCCTTCAGCTCGGTCACCAGGTGAGCTCCGCTGGTCACGGCACCAATCGGTCCAGCAACTTTCTTTTTATTTTTTTTTTTAATTTATTTGTTTTTTTAAACACACTATAATATACTGTACTTGGATGTTTTTCTCACCAACTCACTGGGTAGCTGTAGATTTTGAAAAGATTGGGTTGCTTTTACTCAAAGTTGGGTTAATGACTTGTATCTGGACTGAAGGTTGGATTTGGGGCGGCTGAAGCTGGTCGCAATTTTTGATCGGGGAATTTTTGCTTCTTGGCAGTAAAATGTTTTGTGTTTTCAAACCACACTCTAAAAACATTTGGGTCAAAAATGGACTAAGCCGACTTGCGTCAATTTGACCCAACTTCCTTAAAAAAAAAAAATTTAAAAAAAATGGAAGTTTGATGAAATTAATAACCCACAAAACCTTCCCATTTCCAGTGACTGTCAAACAACCCAAACTGATTTGTTTTGACCAAAACAACCCAAATTTTAGGGTGCTTTTGCGGGTTATTCATCTGACCCAAAAAGTTGGTTCCCAAAATTGACACAAGCCAGAGTTGGTCCCTTTTTGACCCCTAATTGGGTTGCGTGGGTCGTTTTTGCAAATCTTGACCCAATGTGCTGGGTCAAATCCTAAACCCAATGCGCTGCACTCAAATAACAGTTGGGTCAAAAATAACCTCAATTTGGGTCAGAAATTGACCAACCGACTGCTTGGGTCATTTTGATCTGACTTTATAAAATGTTAATGTATTCGGTTGTTTTTGTACAAAACAAACATTTTTGGCCAAAATTTGGTTTTACTTTTGACCCAGGTGTTTGTAGAGTGTGTGGATAAATAACCCAGCATTGTGTCAGTCCCTCTTGGACTCTGCAAAAGGTTAGAACTCGTTAACTCGTTACTCTTGACACAGCGGTTTTCAGAGCGGCATCTTTCCACCCCAACAAATTGTATTTTTTTTTTCCCCAGCCCCCATGGACCAGCCATGCTGCCGCGCCCTCTACGACTTTGACCCGGAGAACGAAGGCGAGCTGGGTTTCAAGGAGGGCGACATCATCACCCTGACCAACAAGATCGACGAGAACTGGTACGAGGGGATGTTGCACGGCAACTCGGGCTTCTTCCCAATCAACTACGTGGACATCCTGGTGCCCCTGCCGCACTAGAGCGCCACCTGCCGCTCGTGACGCGAATGCAGTAAAACGGCTGCTTAAGAAATCAACAAATAAAGCATCTATCCCCCCCAACCCCGCTGAAACAACCTCGCATTCCCGATTGAGCCCAACCTAAGCAGCCCAATCTGCTCTTTGCAACAATAAAGCAACAAGCAGCCGGCGCATAGTTTCAACTCTGCCTCCGCGTGCTAGTTCCAACCCAGACCGCCCCCGATGTCATCATTCCCACTCCGCCATCCCACTTGATGTCCGTCGCTGTACTTTGTGAACGTCCACTGCGGTAGATAGAAGTTTCTCCGGTTAAACACATCGTTTGTTAGCAATCAAAAGAGAAAGTGTTTATAAACCTATTTGACATCCTTCATCGTTTTATTTTTTTTTATTTTAATTTTTTTTTTCGGCACGCTGGGGAAATGACAACGTTGGGTTTGCGATCCCTTTCTTTGGAGTTTTCACGTTTGTAACCCTTCAGGATTTGGGTTTGCAGTCGCCTCAGCGTATTGTGTAAAGTGGGGGTTCAGATACCAAATTAGCAAAAAAAAAAAAAAAAAAAAAAAAAGAAAGTTAACGATCACTCATTTTTTTCGGAATTTTTATTTTTGCATGTGGGGGGGGAACAGTGTCTTGTGTGTGTGTGTGTGTGTGAAATTCCACGTCTGAGCCAGTGATTAGTAAAGCGATCACTTGATTTTTCCCGAAAGATGCAACTTGTGACGTAACATGAGAAAACATCGTGTTTGCTTCCTTTGAGATAAAACGTTTTTGTTTTTTTGTTTTTTGGTTTTTTTTTTTTTTTAATTTTGTCCTGTTCTCAAAAAAAAAAAAAAACATACATCAAATGTTTGTTAAATAGCTATAAAAAACATGCTCCATCCTTTTTTTTTTTTTTAATATTTTTACAAAATATTTTACAGCGCGGGTGTCTCGACACCAAAAACAAAAAGTTAACGTTGGATTTTTTTCTGTCTCCAATTTTTGGGGTGTTTTTATTTTTTGCGCGTGTGAAGAAGGGTTCAGAAGTACATCCGCCCACCGTTGCGTGGAATTCCACAATAAGTAAAGTGATGATGACATGACTTTAACAATAGAAAGATGTGATGTCACATCAGAATTTCCTCTAAAAAAAATCTTAAACGACACAAAACAATATCCTCGATAAATGTTTTCGGCATGTTGTTAAATGCGGTTCAGGCACCAAAATTAATGACCAAAACGTCAGCAATGGATTTACGATGTTCAGTTTTTCACATTTTAATTTTTGTTCGTGTTGGCGTCGGGGTATTCCGAAGCGTATCCACGCATGTGACATTCCACGACCGAGCCAGTGATGAGTGTTGATGTGATTTTTACGTTGATTTTTAAAAGTCGTAACGTATCGTAAGAAAATCGAAATTGTATCCGCGAGCGTGTGACGTCGCTCATCCAAGATTAGTGAAGTGATGACGTGATTTTACGAAAAACCTAAGCTGTGATGTAACACGAAAAAAAAAATCGTGTGCGAAATATACGTCGCAAAAATACATTTTCTCTCCATTTCTATCAAATAATCACCTCGATATTTGTGAGAAAGAGATGTAAGCAAGTGGGGTTTTTTTTTTGTTTCTAAGGACAGATCGACATTTTTTTGTCAACGTATTTTTTTCGCAATATTATATATATATATATATATATGTATCTCAAGCCAAAGTTATTGCTATTTTTACTTTGAAATGTCTTTGCGAAAAAAAGCACGTGGTGGTATCATGTAACAAAACTACCGTGCGTATGCTCCCTCTGAGCATTTTTTTTTCCAAGCTGCAATTTGTGTGCAAGAAAAAACAAACAAAAAAAGTTAATGTCATGTGATGTAACCGAAAACGTACAACTCTACTGCTTTGTCTTTTTTAACTGAATCTTTTGTTTCATTCGTTTAACACTATCGTCCGGTAAGAATTTTCTCGTCGTTTAGCTAGTTGGAGAAAACAGATTGAAACATTTTTTTTGTCTCGCTGGATTGCTGATTATGAGATATTAACCCTTTGGCAACCATTAATGTCATCTTCGTAGCTCGTGTACTAGTCGTAAGGTGTAGGTCAAACATTCCCATTAAGGACTTCACGCCTTTGAAAATCTTTGTGACGGGAATATCTGTGATGTGCTTGGCATGGTTTGCAATAATTTATTAAAAAAAAAAAGAAAACACTTGAGTCAAACGGCAAAAGAAGACATCCTCTCAGATTTTTATTTGCGCTGCAAGCTTTAGAGGGGTATTGTTGTCGTTTAAAAGAAAGAAAAAAAAATATCCGAAAAAGTTATATGCATATCCAGTGTTGCAAATGTAGAATTGTATTTATTTTTGATTTTTTTTTTTTTTCGGCCACCTACCACGTTCGCCATTCCAACAGAGTTGACGTCTGCTAGCCAGAAGCTAAGCAGCACTGTTTGGTTACAGAGTAGATGTGCGGCTAGTCTGGAAACTATTGAATAATCTCAATATGAATACATGTAGCTCTGTTTTATATAATGCAAAAGATTGCGTTTCCAAAACAGTCTTTCTTCTGCTGATGATGGATTGATACGCATATCACCTGTCAACATGCACTGACTAAATCTCAAAAATTCCCCCGTTGTTCGATTTGTTGTTTAGATTGAATTCACCGACATTTCAGAAACATCTCGGGTTTTCTGTTATAAATGTGTAATAAGCGTGTAATTACACCTGATGCTTAGTGGATAGCGATTAGATCAAGATGGCCTACCAGGGGCTAAACGGACAAGTCGAAAAGTAAAGTACGTACTTTGATGTCTAATAAAAATATGCGGCTTTGGTTTCTGTGAGGGCCGCTTCTCACCACGCCCTCTATAGCTGGATTCTGACTGGTCCACGACTGTGGCGTTGAAGTGTTTGTTCTGCGCTTCCATTTTTGTTTGTCAGAAGCACAACTTCCAACTGTCTCTACACTTCACAAAAGTCTTTTTGTTGTTGTTGTTTTGAAGAAGGGTTATATTCCCTCTTTTTCTCTTTGACTTAAAAAAATATGATGTGTATCTTTGCCCTCAATGAGGACTGTACAGTTATTTGTGGGATTTATTTGTGTGTGTGCGTGTGTGTGTGTGTGTGTGCGCGCACGTGTGTTTTTGCTCACCCACAGTAATGTAATCTTATTTTTGTAATCATGACAAAATATTGACGTGCGTGTGTGTGTATATAATGTATATTATATAAACACACAATAATGTAAGGCAGGAAGAAGGAGAGATTCTTTGTGGTGCACATGATTGTTTTTTTTTTCCTCTCTCTTTGTTTTGTTTCATTCTTGCACTTTGGATTTGAAGCGTGTATGCTTAATGTAAAGACAACAATGTGATAAGTCAGTGTCCTTTATTCCAATAAACTGAGAAATGTGCTAGTTTAGTTTGTGGTGGTGGACGTCTGCCCATAGCTGTAAGAAATGAATTCAGCAATTTAGTTTTCCGCCATTTGCTTGACTTTTTGTTTCAAATCTTTCTCAAGCATCATGAAAGCGGACAAAAATGTGTGGGGGTAGGGGGGGGTGAGCCTCGCACAGAATCGAAGGCGGGATGTGGTTGGGCGTAATTTGTCCAGTCACGATCTACTTATCACGGCATGTTTGATTGTCCCCCCCCCACACACACACACACACACACACACACACACAATTGAGTGAAAGTGTGAACACTTACGGCGTCAACTGTCCTGGCTAATATGTCCCACTTTTTGTATCTCCGATTCACCACAAAAGAAAAACAAATAGAAATGGAGCTAGAGCGCCCTCTGGAGGAACACCACTGTCTCACACACAAAAGCACAATCATTGATTTGTCGATTAAATGCTTAATTACTATTTAGTCTTGGATTAATGGTACACTTCTGTCTATCTGTCATCGTCTACGTTCATATCCCTCATCCGTGTGCCTATTTATATATTCCTACAATCAAGCATCTACAGTGTGGATGTCAATTTGACACTATTCTGTCATCTATTTATCATTGATCCCTCTATTAATCTTAACGTCCATCCATCTATTTAACATGTACTCAGCCGTCCATCATCTATTGATCCGTCTGTCCGTACGCCTACGTTGGATCAGCCATTTGTCTGTTGGCTGTCAAAACGAGATGAACGATCAGTCAGCATGTTGCAGTTCAAGTAGAAAGCGCGCACACACTTTGTGTGTGTGTGTGTGTGTGTGTGTGTGTGTGTGTGTGTGTGTGTGTGTGTGTATGTCGGCGGGGTGATGAGACAATGGAGTCAAAAGAATTCCGATTGAGCCTCCCTCCTTGTGGGTGGTCCACATGGACACCGAACCGCATAAACGTGATCCATCATCACAAATGATCCACTTTTTTGCAACTATGATGTATTCATCTGCCTTGTTTAAGATTGGTTTGTACCCAAATATGTTTCTGTGAGGTCAATCCACCTTCGTGTTATTATAATCAGTGAATTTTCAAATGTCATGTTTCCCCAAAAAGTCAACAATCGCAAAGTACATGATTATTTCATGGCTCGTGCGTTTGGGGGGCGGCTGGTTTTCTTTAGTTGGGGGTGGGGCCTTGGTCAAGATGGAGGGAGTTTGGAATAGTTCACACCAAACCTTCAATCTCCTGCAAGAGAGTGAAAAAAAAGCCTACTAGAACATCTTGACTTTGTTTGGGTGCGACTTCAATTTTACATGCGTTTGAATGGAACTGCTTCATTCCGACCACAGCCACTTCCCCGGGTTTAAGTGGGTGTGCACACTTTTGCAACTGCATTATTTCACTTGTTTATTTTTACTTCATTGCTTTCAAAAAAAGAGCAATCTGGTGTTGTACTGTTGCTACCATACTTTTGTGTGTCAAATGGAATTGAGTATTTTTTGACTGTATACCGTACCAGCTGAACTTTTTAGAGAGGAGTAAAGTCGCCGAACTATGAAAGAAGGGTAGGGGAGGGGGAGGGGGGTGATGTGAATAAAAGGGGTTGACACCCACCCACACGCATATCCACGCACACACCCATGGAGCAGCTGTTAGTGGGAGTGTGCCAGCGTGTGTGTCATTACATGCTTGGATGCGGCGTTCCTACATACTTGCTCTATTCAGCGGGAAAGCCCGGCTCTCAACACCCGACACAGGCCGCTAATACCCTTGTCTGTCACACGCACACGCTGATTGCAGATGACAAACGAGCCAGTAAGGCAGGTCCGACAGCTACGTGGCAGCTCCTCAGAGTGTGTGTGTGTGTGTATGTGTGTGTGTGTGTGTGTGTGTGTGTGTGTGTGTGTGTGTGTGTGTGTGTGTGTGTGTGTGTGTGTGTGTGTGAGAGAGAGAGAGAGAGAGGCGATTCCTCAGCCATTCTGCGAAGATCTCTGGAGGTCTCACTTCCAAGTCTTGTTTGTTTCCGTTTCTGGATTCATGAGTGACTGAAGCGCTGACACTGAGACACACATATCATTGTGCGCTCGTGTGCGTGTTAACGTGTGCGCGAGTATTCACGTTCGCGTTCATTTTAGTGTGAATGTGCGTGCGTGTGTGTGTGCACTGTGCATTTTTGTGTTTTTTTTTTTTTTTTTTTTTTGCTGTCGTCCGTGTTAACACGCGCGTGTATGTTTGTGTGTTTTAGTGTTAAAGTGGATGTGAGCGCGAGAGTTGGTCAACGTGTGTTTGTGTCTATGTCTAAGTGCGTGTTCATGTCTTGCTGAGTATGTGAATGTGTGTCCGTGTGCACGTTCGTGTTAATTTTGGTGTTTATGTGTTTGCCAACGTGTGTGTGTGTGTCTGTTACTGTTTTCGTGTACGCGTGTGTTCGTAAATGCCGTTCTGCGATGGTGAATTCCCTCGTCAGAGTTTATAAACAAAATGGCTGCCTTCCGGTTC